TTTCCCTCTCTCCCTCCTTCCTCCCTTCCTTCCTTCTGTCTCAAAATAAATGCAATTAATGTAAACAACAAGAAAACCAACCTAAGTTTGTTTAAGCTGACATGTTCTTGCCACATTGTGATCTTTTCCATTGCCTTTGAGCCAGCCAGAGTCTCAGGTACATGATGGCATATACCAGATGTGTTCAGGCTGACCCAGGATCCAAATCCTGGCCTCCTTTATGGCTCCAATATTGCACAGCTATTAATGCTGGACCCAAGCTTATAATTTTGATCTTAATATTAGAATTTTTGGTTTGGAATGAACACACACACACACACACACACACACACACACACACACACTAAACAACCTTACAAACTCAGTGACAATTAAAAATATATTTTTAATGAGAATTATGTGACACACATACACACAATGTCATCAAAATCAGATTCTTAATTTTAAGGACTGTTTGGATGTTTGTTTAATTGTTTTCATCACTTATAATTCACTTTGAAAATATGCCAAACTCCATCAAATCCAGTAAAATGAAGACCGTGAAGTAATAAATGAAAAATCAAATCACTTCGTGAAATCACATTATTTGGGTATAATTGGATACACCTAGCTGCCTCATACAGATACTTAATAAACATTTTTTTCACATTGCAATATAATTATCAGTCCCTACTGAACTATGTATGCAAAATTGATGAAAGAGTTGAGCCTTAATGAACAGAGATATTTGCATTTCATTACTAGGTTGTATAATTCTGCTCATAAACTTTATGAAATAATTTTACTGCTCAATTCATTGCAGATAAAAGCAAAAAAATTACTTGAAAAATCTTTCCTGAAATCTCTTATTCCTCTGCAGCATCCAGTATACTGATTTTCATTCATTTCAATAAAATGGATTGAACTAGGATAAGATTACAAACATAAAGTTCCATAACTTTACCAATTAGTCTCTCAGGTCCATGAAATGTTGTCAGTCAGTAGAATTAAGGCAGCATTTAAAACATGCACATAGTTAAGTAACTTCTAAGGGTGGTAGAACTTAGCTTATTTCGATTGGCACTAGCTCTTATAATAAAGATAGACATGATTTACAAATTTTGAGTCTTGCAATTCTATACCAGTACTGTCAAAAAGTGAAAGATTAGCAATGTCTAATGTAATTTTAATATGATTTTTAAATATTGTTACTGAACTTTTTTTATTCTAAAGAGAGCTCGAACCTTCTCTTTGTTCTCCTCATGCCCTAGAAGTCAGAGTTTCAAGGTTGCTCTGACTGAGTCTTATTTTCAAAAATAAAATTCTTTCACTTGACTAAAAGATCAGCACATTTATGATTAATTGTTTGTTCTTATATTCCCAAGGAAAAGTAGCTAATCCTTATTTCTAGGTAATTACTACTCCCCATAATGGACTCAAGATGGTCAGTCTAGTAATTCAGAGTTCTATAAGGTGGGACAAATTTTATTTCTCATTCCTTTGTCTTTGGAAAGGATGATATGTTTTCAAGAGGTCTTTCCTTGGTTTGAAATCTTAAACTACAAAATATGGGTAATAATAAACAGAGATACTATACAAATTTAACATGCTTCACATGTAGTTTTGATTGGGAAAAGTGAGTCTTCCTCTAGATCTGAACTCAATCATAGCATTTTCATTAGAATTTAAGGTCCAACTCTCAACTGATTATCTAATACTAATTTGTTACACAGCAAGAGAAAATGAAAGCAATGTGTTTTGAATTTTAGAATCTCAATGTCTAAAATCTCGATGCCTTATGAATGACACAATTTCTTTTATTGTTGTTGTTAATGCCAGACGATGCATGCACATGAGAGACAGAGAGAGAGCAAAAGAGAGAAAACTCCCCACAGAGGCCTGGTCATGACCAATCTCCTTTCCTCCTTCCCATCAAGATTCTGGGCACATAGAAACACGTGCTCAGCATGTTTTTCAAGCTGCCAAGGCTGGGAATTGAACCATGTTGGCCGTGTGGAATCGTGCTCCCTCCATTCAATGTGTATCTACTAAGCTATGAGGCCAGCTCACTAATGTCACTATTTAATAATACCATTTTTCATTATTCTCAACAAAGTATTTTTGGACATGGAACAGCAATAAAGTTATTAGGGTTTCTCTATACACACAATTGAACTTTTAAAGATTTAGCTTATTGTTATTGTCAAGTTCAGAAAGTGACAACCTAATTACTATAGTAAAGCATTTGAACATGACTTAATAATACTTTCAGTTACATACGAACAAATAGGAAAGAGTTGATTCAGATTGAATTGACGTAGGTTAGTTGGATGTAGTTTAAGGTAGAAATAAAAGAATGACAAATTTTCCTTCTTTTCTGAGTCTTCTGGCCTTACAAAAATTCTTTCTTCTGTTTTTTTTTATTTTCTGCATATTACTATTCATAATTTGCTTAAATTTTATATGATGTATGATATTACTCAAATCTATGGCTGGAGTTACCATGTACATAAAGAAGACCATCAATTTTTTTTTTCCTGTCTGAGATCTTTCCTTTATTTCCTGAGCTCTAGTCTTATAGATAAACCTCTTGAAAAGACTCATGACCATGGGTATCTTACCTTATATTTCCTTGGTGATATTAGAGATCTTTCTGTAACATAAATATGCTCATGTTCAAATTCTTTAGTGCCACACATGAAGCTATCTATCTATTATCTATTTCTTCCGAATGTTCCAACATCTCCATTTCGATATCCTATACTCCAGCTGCATTTACTTCCTTGAGGATCCTGAATACACCAGGTAATTTCGTGCTCTGTCTTGTGGTAGTCCTTATGCATGAAAATTACTTCCATATCTTTTAGTTCTTAGCTCAAGCATGGCTTCCTCTGTGATGATCTGTAGGAGGAGCAGCATTTTTTGTTGATGTCCTTTTAGATATCCGACTCTCATATGCTAAGCAAGCACATATGCTAGAGCAGTCACATAGGTTTCATGCGTCTATCTCCCACTTGCCCCAAAGTGTCTAGGGGAGCAGAAATCCCCTATCACCATCTGGATACCCTTAGCATACATGATCTTAACACGTGATAGTGTTCATTGAGTATGTGGTAAATGAATGACTGAATAAGGAACACATGCCCTTGCCATTGGCATTTGCTTCTAGCCCTTTGAAGATGTTACATTGTATGTCATTATCTTTCTTATTTTTTGTTTTAGAGATTTTTTTTGTTATAGGCCACATGTGCTCATCAGAGAGACAGAGTCAGAGAGACAGAAAGTATGAAATCACCCCAGGGGGTATGGCCATGCCGCAATACCTTTTCCATTTCCTTTGGGATCTTGGGCATGCATGCACAAGTGCCCAACATGAATTTCAAGCCTCTGGGTCCAGGACTTGAATCGTGGTTGGCCATGAGAGAGTCCAGCAATGTAACCATTATGCCATCTGTTAGTCCCTGTGCTATTTTTTTAAAAATATTTTTTTCAATAAAATGATATATTCTCTTCATACTGATCTATGGGAGAATCGAATGGTATACAGTCATCATAGAAAGAAATTCAGAGATACTTAATCAGATGAGGCATGTGAACCTTGTGCTCCAGCCGCCTCTTTCCAGGATACACATCACGTGAACATTTTTACATAGGCCTGTAAGGGGATGTGTAGGAGACTCCTCATTACTTGTTATTGTGGTAGTTAAAAGCTGGAGACCACGAACCTCTTCATCAGCAGGGGAATGGATGAGTGGAATATTGTACATGCGTATCACAGATTGTCATAGCACATTCAGAAGCAATAAATGCAGCAAAAAATACAGCTGTATCTTTAAAAATGTATACTGAGTTAGAGAATATGATGCAGAATCACATCTATAGAGCAATACGACTAAATTACATACATGCACACGACAGCACACTCATAATAATACATAATGTAAAGGAGAGACACCAAACACGTAAGGATATTTTCCTGTTAGAGGGAGAAGAATGGGAAGGACTGAGTGAATTAAATGGATTAAATAAATAAAATTGGAAGAATGAAGCAATACTGTAGTACATCATGAGATAAAGATTACAATTTACTTAATATTCTGAACCTAAGGTACCTCCACCCACAAACATAAAAAAAATTAAAATTAAATATATTAAGTCTTTGGCATTTACAATTGATAAAATGGGACCTTATGGACCTCCCTCACATGTGCACACACCATGTTAAATGGCACAGAGATTAAGGCAACTGGTCTCATGTGAATGATTATACAGTTTGAGTTCTTACCTGGCGGTTTGAAAATCATACCAGGCACAGGTGAGTATGTGCCCAAAATCTCAAGAGGAGAATAGAGGAGAAGGGATTGCATCATGGACAACCCCCTCAAAGGAGGGCTGATTTCTCACTTTCCTTCTTTCTCACTGTCTCCCTTTGGTGAGCATACATACCCTATACCCAAACTTAAATAAAAAGAAAAAAAGAAAAGAGTCTACATAGCCTGAGATAGATTTAAACAATGCTTGAAGAAATTATAACCCATCCTATAAGACCAGCTGAAGGAAGGGGTCATTGTTCTTATAAACTGATTTTCTGAATGGTCAAACCTGGTAGAAATGAATGTCACCTAACAGTGAATCACCACAAGCATCTCAGATTAGTGGAAGAAAAACGAATAATGTAACAGGAAAAAGCTACATAGCTATCTCACATGTTCCATCAAAATAAATTCCAAATGAATTAATTATAAAAGTGAAATAAGTTCTAGAAGATCACACAGGTAATAGTTACAGCCTTGCATTGAGGGAAGATTAACACTAAGCCAGAAAATGTAAAGGAGACAAATGTTGAATTTGTTTAAGTATTCAAAATTTTCTTATAAAATTATAAAATATAAACAAAATTAAAAGAAAGACAAAGGCCTCTCTCCCACAGAGCTGGGAGGGGTCTCTTTTCTCCTCAGCCTGGGCTGGACGCCAAGATCAGCTGTTGAGGATCTTTGCTGCAACTGCCACAAGCTGGGCAGCCTTGTGTTTTCCTACTTCAGATGTTGGTAGTTGAGAATAAGCAAAAAAAGGAAAACAAAAATACATATTGAGAACATCAGTGGCATACATGGCACAGAATTAATATCTATGACTTTTAAAGCTCTTTTACAAAATGTATATGCATAAATAGAAAAATAGACAAAGAGTTGAAAAGATAAATCACTAGGAAAAAATAACCATTAAGGATATGACAATATCTATTTTTAACTAATAAAAATATAAGTCAAAACTAAAATGTGATAACTTTTAAGTTTTTACCAGAAGGTGTATGTGCTTGCCTGAGAGACACAGAGAGAGACAATGAGAAGGAAAGTGAGAAATCATCTCCCATGAGGGATGTCCATGCTATAATTTTTTCTCCTTCATTCTCCTTCTGGGATTTTGGGCACATATAAGCTGCCAGGTCTGGGACTTAAACTAAGGTCAGCCATGTGGGAGTCCAGCATCCACCATGGTAATCTAGTCCACTATGTGATAGCATTTTTATTGTATCAAATTGGTAAACACAGAAAATTAAGGACGTGTAGCTTTGGCTTTGATGCAGAGAGTTGAGGCTATTTTTTCTGTGATTTAAAAAGTATTTTAAATTAATAGACAAAATTATATGCATTTACCATGTACAAGGTGGTGTTTTGAAGTATATATACATTGTGGGGGTGACTAAATCTGGCTAATTAACATAAGTATTACCCCAGATAGCGATAATTTTTGTGGTGAGAACACTTTATATCCTGTCTCCAGCATTTTTCAAGCATCAGTTTATCCTTTGACCAACACCTCCCCATCATGCCTCCTCCCAACCACCCTTCTACTCCATTCTACACTCCATAAGGGATCAGCTATTTCAGATTCTACATATAAGTGAGATTATGCAATGTTTGTCTTTCTGTGTCTGGCTTACTTCACTGGACAGAATGTCCTTCAGGTTCATCTGTGTTGTCACAAGTGCAGGTTGTCTCTTTACTCAGTAGATTGTGCTGTAGTTACTGTTTGTTTGTTTTGCTTTAGAAAAGTTTTATAGTGTCATATAATCCCATTTGTCTATTTTTGTTTTTGTCGTCTGTACTTTTGGGGACATATCAAAACAGTTCATGCCCAGACCAATGCCATACAACTTTCTCACTGTTTTCTTCTAGTAATTTCACATTTTTAGGCCTCATGTTTAAGTCTTTAAATGATTTTGAGTTGATTTTTATGTATGGTATGGACAATTTCATCTGCATATAGATATCCTGTTTTCTCAAAAGGATTGATTGAAGAATCTACGCTTTCCCCATTGTGTGCTCTTGGCACATTGTAGAAAATCGTTTGGCTGTAAATGCATAGATTTATTTCTAAGCTCTCTATTCTGTTCCACTCATTGATGTGTGTATGTATTTTTAAAGAATTATTTTATTTAACTTTATTTATTTATTTATTTATTTATTTATTTATTTTTATTTGACCAGAGAGGACAGAGGGAGAAAGAGAGAAAGTGACAAAGCAAGCCACCAGGTTCGGGACTGTAACACAATTGGCCACATGGGAGCCCAGCTCCCTTAACCACCATGTCATCTCCTGGCTCCGATGTATGTGTTTTTATGCCAGTGCTATGCTGTTTTGGTTACTACATCTTCGTAATATATCTTGAAGTAAGGTAGTATGATGCCTCTAGCTTTGTCCTTTGTTCTAAAGATTGCTTTGGCAGTTTAGGGTCTTACATGGTTCCACACACCTTTTAGGATTCTGTGTGTATGTGTGTGTGTATGATGAATGTAACTGGCATTTTGTATTGAATTTATAGATCACTTTGGAGAGTATGAACATTTTGATAATATTAATTCTTTTTAAAATATTTTTATTATCAACATAATCTTTATATTCCATTGGATTACATATAACTTTACAGTGTATCACATTGCTTTTTCAAAAGGGAATGCCATGCATGTCAGTCAATACAGAGACATTAATCTCCCCACTGCATCATTCAATATCTTTTCTATGTTTTTCCCAATCATTATTATTATTCTAATTATTTTTTTAAACAGTCAATCAATTTCTCATTTTGCTTGTAGAAAGACTTTACCCTTCACGAAATACTTATCAGACCAATCCAGCTGAGAATACTATACATGTCATCATCCACAGGTAATAAACCATATCTGTTTGCCACTAATGTCCTACCTCTCTATTTGTTCTCTTACTATCTTTCTCTATCCTATGCTCTCCACCCCCCATTCCACACTGTCTTATTCTCATTAAGTACTTTCACTGCTTTTTTTAAATTTAATTTTTCATTTTTTATTAACATTCATTCACTGTACAACATTACAGAATACAAAATGAGATTTTCCATTCAGAGTACACTATATATTGTCTCACTCAAGCACATCAACATACATGTTATTGTCAACAAATAATTTTCCATTTCTTGTTGCCTGTATGTTTTGTTTTTTCCCTCCTGCTCAATTCCCTATCTCTTACCCTCTGCCATTTTCCACTTTCCTTCCCCACTGTCTCTGGTATCTCTGTTTGCTTTCTACACTGTTTTCACCCCACATTTTATTGAATTACTAATGATCTTAATTAATCTAAATATTTTCATAGCAAAAAAAGCTGATATATACATTTCCATGAACACAAGTCTAACTTTAGGCATCCTATAAAGTAGCACCTAACTGGGACTATATATCTTACTGTAGTCATCGAATAGATTTCTTTTTCTGAAAAGTTTTTTAACTTAATTTACATTCTTTCC